TAGACTGGTCTTTAACAAGATAGATCATTAAAGCAAATTATAAAAACCAATAGCTGAAAATAAGTAGTCTTGTAGTTGCTATACAATTTAAGAAGCTTTCACAAATCAAAGTTTTGATGAATACTATATAAAAAAGTACTTAAGGAGTAGTAAGATATATACAGTACTAGATAATTTAGAAAATATTAAAACCTGAAAATAGCAAACTAGTGACAACAGCAGGGTTTAGCTTGAAATATGAAATTAGTATATTTGAAGAAGTAAGTAAAAAACTCTCTACCAATTGGCATAGCTAGTAATATAAAACTAATACTTTCTATTAAAAAAGTAAGTAAGAAACTTCTTGCTAATTAATATAGCCAGCAATATAATATTAATGCTTCTTATGTGGGACTAGTGGTACTTGGTTGGAGAAATATATACGAAAAGCCACCTGACAGAAAAATATACCAATAAAAAATATCCATAATAGGTATATCAAATTGGAAGGCTATTAAAGACTAATTTTTTAAATAAACTAATTTAAAAATAAGTAAGATATGGGGTAAATATAGTAAATAACTAAAAATACTGTAATGTACTATATAAAAGATCTTTTATATATCAGATCTTAATAAATTAGACCTGAGTCTATAATATAGAATAAAATTTTGGCAAAATGTAAAAGACCCAGATATACAAATAGGAAAATACTAAGAAAAAATAAAGAAATAGAATAAACTTTAATTATTATATCTATACTTATATAAAAGATCCGCGAGTTGGTATGGTGACGTAGAGTAGTGGTTTAGTTATCACTTCCCAAGTAGCAGGTCTAGAGTTCGATTCCTATCAGAGACGTTTTTCAAAAAATAGGACTGTGTTATAGTAATATTTATTCGATGATCAGTTGGGTATATCACCTATAATCTTGGTACTACTATCTCATTATGGAAGCTCTAGGGTGATTCAAATCCAAGAAACTGGAATATTTGAAACTCGTTTAGCAAGACTCGAGCTAGAAATAGTGAAGATCTTCAACGATACTACGGAAAATCAGAACCAGAAACCGAAGAACTGGATAAACAACTCTGAGGCAAGAAGGGTTTATCAACCTGGCCACCAGAGTCACACCAGAGAAAAAGGTCTGATACTACGGAATTCAGAACCAAGAAAAGTAAAACCAGAAGGCACTTAGAGACTAGGTATAACAACTCTTCTAGGCTAACTAGTTTGGTAGTTGAGAAGAAATTAGTATAAGGACTGGTTGAAAGTGGGTATCAGGATCAGAATGAACCTTGTAAGGGCAAGGAGTAGGTAATAGTAGCGGCCACAAAAGCTGCAAGTACCAGTCCTCGGATTGGACATAAGTTACTGAAAAATCTAGGTGATACATGTGTAGGACATAAACCGCTCTGGTAGATTTACTATGAGAATAAAGTAGTCCTAAGGGGCTTTAGTGACAGGAATTCTTCTGGAAAAAACATCTAATGGCACTAAGTCGATCAAAAGGTTTAAATAGGAAATCCACAGGCAGATTCTAGGTATAGCAATTGGTGGATAACTATAGATAGTATAGCGGAGCCCTTAAATAGACAATGACTAAAGTTGTACATGTAACCAATTGTACTTTCGTTGATATAACAAAGTCAAGAGGTGCCTATTCAGTATCCTGATAATTGAACTAAGAAGTTAATAAACCATGTCAGACCCCAAAGTGGTCACCTTAATATTAAAAAAAAAAAAAAAAGATTCTCAGGTCTAAATCTAGATTTGAAAATTGGTAAAATATAACAGACCTGAGTCATTTATATAGCACATTATGGTAGTCTAAATACCAAATCCAGGTATAACCCAATATGTAATAAAAATATAGTATATTTTAGTAGGTTTAGATTATAAATAAATTTATCTAAGCTTATATTTTTAAGATAGATATGTAGCTATATAAAGTAATTACTAGTAAAATATTTAATAAAGATATGAAATAAAACTTAATCTTATCACCAAAAAAAAATAAAAAATAAAAAATAAAAAATATTTATAACTATAACTGGTAGTGATGATTACTAGTATTATATGATCGAATTTGGTAAGTTTTATTTATTACTTTTGGTACAATATTAATTTTTTCTATATTAGATTTATTTTTTTACAAATAATTCTAAATTTGTAAAATATAATATTAGATCACTATTAATATATTAATTTTGCAATACATTATTACTATAAAATCTTTGTAAACTAATTAAGTTTTCTAATATATTAACAAGCTATCTTTATTTATATTCTAATTAAAATTTTAAATTTGATAATAAATTATAAAAACTTCCTCTAATTATATATTGAAATATCAAAAATTCTATAATATAATAAGCAAATCATTTTAATTTAAAAATTTTTAATTAAAAATCTAAGCAACTCTTTTCACTAATCATCAAAACACAAATTTCTAAAAATAAAAATTAATAAAAACTATAGAAAACACACAAAGGCTACTAGAAAACTAGATTTGAAGCTCTAAGAAAAGAGGAAGAACTACAAGAAATACTCAGTTTCTTAAGAGACTTGGGTTAAAAAACAAAAGCAGCAAAAAAATAAAAAAAGTTATGAAAAATTTTTTGCATTTTGTGAATTTTTTAAAAATCAGCTTTGATTCTGAATCACAGAACTGTTTTGATAATACAAAAATCACAATATATAATGAAAAGTAAACAAAAAAATATACCAAAAACTATATAACAAAAATAAACAAAGGTAGTAAACAATTGCAACTAATAACAACAACAACTAACAAAGATCCAAAAACAACAAGTTATATGAAGCAAAGGTTAAGGGACGTGACAAAAATCAGATGATTTTTTAGGGAAAGAGAGAAGATAAAAAATTTAAAATTATATATAAAGACCTAATCAAAATATATAGTAAGAGGAGGGAGAGGAAGTAAGCCTCTGATAAAAAAAATCAGGTGATAAATGATACTGCTCTAACAGAATATTTTAAAAGAAGATCTATTATAAAAGAAGAAGCAAAAAAAAGAATAGAAACTCTTCTGATAAAACTAAAACAGTATAGACAGAATAAAATTTTTTGTACAGAACTTGAACTTAGAAAAAAACAATTGTAAATTCAAAATAGTATTAAATAGAGGAATATTTCTATATAAGTTTATTATAAAAGAAAAAATATTTAGTATTATAGATGAGTTTGATATAACAATTGAAATGGACTTAAGAGATGGACCAAGATATAAAACAATTACAAAAATCAATAACAAAAAGAATATAAAAAGTTATGTAAAGAAAACAACAAGTCACATAAAGCAAAGACTAACAGAATATTCTAAAAAAAATTTGATATACCTAAAAGTATAAAAGCAGTATTAAAAGATATCTAGAGCATAATAACAGCAATATCTGATAAAATGATATATATATAAGTAGAAGAAATAATAGCAAAGTATGCTGAACAGAAACTTATTACAAAAGGAGAAGCCAAAATGCAAATAAAAAAGCTCTATAAAAAATTATAACAGTATAACAAGAAGAACTAAAGTATACAGAACTTATATTTATAGAAAAGGATCATAAGGTTTGATATAAAGTAATACAAAAAGGAAAAGATTTAGTTAATTGTATAGTGTAGATAACTTAGTCCCAACAAATAAAATTTTCTAGTGGCCAAATCTGAAATCTTACATAATACAGCCAAATTCAATATTTTTATTACATACGGCCAAATTTGATATTTTCATTATATACGGCCAAATTCAATATTATTATTATATATGGCCAAATTTTATATATAGCCAAATTTGATATTACTATATATAGCCAAATTCAATATTTTCATTATATTCATCAAATTCGATATTTTTATTATGTATATACTAATATGCCAAATTTAATAATGATAATATCAAGAATATAAATACTGCCAGGAGAATAAGAATTCAGAAACTTAAGTTTATAACCTAACGGATCTAGTTTCTGAAAATATTTAATCGATAATATATAACAAGCAATTTTTATTAAACTTTTTTTAGAGTTAAAGCTGATAAGTTATAAACTTAAATTCTTAATATCTTATTTTTTTCCTTAGAGATATATATACAACGCATCAATATTTAATTTTAGCAAATTGAATCGAATACAAAGTAGTCACTAGACATTAAATAATAAACTATTTTTCTAAACTTCTATAAACAATGATATAATTCTAAAAGTATCAGAAAATTTATAAATATGCTTTAATCATCAAAATTCTATTGTATATTTATCTTTTTTTGTAAATACTAATATTTGATCTCTCTTCTTATATCAGTTTATTTATTTAATCACAACTTTTGAAATGCTTGAAACACATTATAGCTACTTTCTGAATGTTTTCTAATATATAAGGTATGTTTGTGACTTTGATATATATCGTAATTATTAAAATATTTAGAATCTAACTTAAAATATAAAGTAATTTAAAACTATAATCAAATACTAAAAAAAAAAATAATAAACCTAAAATAAATAAAATCTTGAATAAGGTTGTATTAAGTATGTAAAGATATTTAGAACTATCTTTGAATTCATGAGAAAAAAAATAGCAAGATTTAAGAAAAAAAAATACTCCTATTATGCTATTCAAAGTCTTACTATATTAAATCTATAAAATCATTTTAAAAACATATTTAAAAGTTTAAAAATGGCTATAATATAAATAAATTATTACTAGCAATTTGATTAAAATTGATGTCTTGAGTTTCTCTATAATAAAGTGATTTTATATAAAATTAAAATTATCTTGAGTAATTAATTTGTTAGTAATAATATATCACGTTTAACAATCAATCAAAAAAATCAAAGAAAGCTAATGAGGCAAAAGCACATAAGCATAATACTAATACTAATAATTCTGAAGCAGAAAATTCTTACAATTTTTTTTATGATGAGTCGGTTGAAAATAATAATACTATGAGTATTGTAAAAAGACTTTAAGCTATAGAAAATAACTATTATAGTAACAATAATATGCTAGAAAATTATAATAATGAAAGTCTTTTTGTCTATAATGAGCTAATTGAGAATGATAATAATAAAGGTTTTGCAAAAAAACTTTTAAATATAGCAAATATTTTTTATTATAAAAACGATTCTAACAAATTCTGTAAGCTACGCTATTTAAGAAATTCTATCTGTACTAAAAGAAGAAAGAAGCAGCAATAGTATAAAGCAGCAAAAAGAACACCTATATTGTTTACCTTTTGGAACCAAAACAAGACTGGTGAAGAAGCTAATAAGGCAGAATTATCTGATAATGAATGGCTAGATAAAGCTAATAAAGATGAAGCTGATAAAGATGATACTGAAGATCTATCAGAAGATGAAATTAAAATCTCTAATTGGTATAAAAGAATCCTAACTATATTTGAAAACATAATATTAGATATTAAAAATAAGAATATAAATAGTAAAGTTTAGATATGTTTTAATAGTATTCGTTTTTATCTTCAGCTTATAAAACATAATTATCAGAAAATGAAAGCAAGTAAGATAGTCGCAAATATAGCAAGGAAAGAGGTATACCATACTAAGTATGTTCATTCTTGAGTGTATAAGTACATTATATCCTGCTAGATTCCTTATTTACGCTGAGAATATTATGCTAAAACATGAAGCTTTCTTTAGAACAAAGATATTCTTTTTCAAATCAAGTCATATGTTCAAGAGAATTAGTAGAATATTACTCCACACATAGTTATACTATAGATGAATGATATTATTTTATCAGGGCTCAGATTTGTACTACTACTAACTATTTCTCTTAATACTGCAAAAAATTATTTGAAAGAACTTGGTTATGTTTATGAAAAGTAAAAAAAGATGTTTATATCAATAGATATGAAAGAGAAGATGTAGTGGTCTATCAAAAAATATTTTTAGAATAAATAAATGAAGTTGAACATAGAATATCTGTATTTTTAGATGATAATATGGAAGTAGAAACCTGGCCAGATAGTAGTGTACAGTTATTTATTCTTGTTATACATGATGAATGCATATTTTCAGCTTATGATGGAAGTCATAGTCTCTGAATTCCTAAAGGAGAACAACCTTTACGAAAAAAGGTGATGAATGTTTAATCCATATTAGTGAATTCTTTACAAATGTTTGCAGCAAACTTGTGCTTCCTAAAGAAATATAACTATCAGATATGCTTTCTAGAGAAGCTTGTGTTATTATATGTCCTAGCAAAAACAACAATAGATGATAAAAATCTGAAGATTTGATTACCCAAGTATCCAACTGTGTTATTCCTATTATTAAAGCATGTTTTCCAAGATATCAAGCATTATTTGCATTTGA